ATTACAGCCAACTGTCCGATTACACTGTCCGATTACAACTTTGCAGATTAATTAGAGCAAAATATAGCAGTTTATGCACCAATCACATTTGAGGAAATTGTAATTGTTATGATGAATAAAAAAATTGAACTATTCTCTTTAGCCTGAAGTGAAAGCAGTACAACCATGGACCGCCACGCTGTGAATTACAGCAAATGCAAAATTACATTTCATGTCCGATTTCCGCACACACAGAAACGGTCAGTAACTTTTCCATAAAACATATTAATTACTATGTGTTAGAATTACATATCTCATAAATAACCAGTTATCAAAGATTATTGGAGTGCGGTCGAATTCTTCATCTTATAAATAAATTCAGTGAAGCTTTTATTTGATCTTTAAAAGAGCCTATTTTTCTAGACCAACAAGTATCTTCACAGAAACAATCTTCGATCGTATCTGGCTTAACAAAGAGATATGATGACCATACCTTGAACTAACTCTTCTAGCGGAGGTAGAAGAAGGTGTCTACTTTCTATTGGTAAATAATCCGACTTTGTCGAAGTATTTTCTGTCCCTGTGTTTGCCATTTCATTCGGGTGGCATTTACACCAGCCCAAGGAACAAGCGAAAACCGTCAGGCGTTCCTTACCTCTTTACACTCGTACCTAGTCTTTCATGGGTTTGCCGCCCAGAAATAAATTTTTATCGTTGACTGCTGACATTGCTGCGGAATCAGTGAATCTATTTATCGGAATTTACCTTGAACTCTACCCAATGATGGCATCTTTACGAAGATTTTCAAGATTTGCGGCAGTAGCTTCAGCAGCAGTAACGTTTTCGGGAGCATACATCGTCTTCAACAGCACAAGAAATCCCGCGCGCGCTAGCGCTGACACTTCACCCGGCTTCGAGAGCTATCCAGAGGAATTTGCAGATCGTCATCTGGTCAAACCTTCTGGTTTACGATGGGACCCGAACTGGGATATGTGCAACAAAGGTGAAAAGAAGTCTAAGAAGAAGGACAATGGTAAGATTGAAGAAGAATCGAAAGAGATAAAGCCCACAGCTGTACGCCATCTTGTGTTTATAAGACACGGGCAATATTATTTAGACGCTGCAAATGACGATGATAAACGATTGACCGAGCTAGGAAGGTATGGAAAGAAGTGCTTTGCCTGTTATATTGTTAAAAAAGTACCAGCTTTGGATTCTTAAATATTAAGTAAGGAAGAAGATAAAAGAAGGTCTTGGGACTTCTTGAATCAGTTGACACAGGTTGACAGTAATCCGCGCCCCCTCCCCCTCGGGGAATGACTGCTCTACTTCCAAGCAGAGGAGGTGTAAGAAGTGTAAAAGATGTTCATGTTAAACGAGGCTGGTAGGTATAAACCTGCCATGAACCTAAGCTTCTCATCTGACGGAGGGGGAGGATAGAGGGGGGGGGGGGGGGGGGGGGGNTCAGGACCTCAAAATAGAAATGTAAGCAATGTAGGCTTGAGGTGGAGGCTTTTACTCCTCCCATCCAACCTACCCCTCTACTTATAACTTGCAGTTCATAGATAATGCTACACTGTATTTCTGTTGTCACTTCATGGCTATAGAGCGCTTCAAAATTATCTGCCATTTAATAGGCCACTTTCGATATATTAAAATTCAGCTTGATAATGAAGCCTAGAGGACACAAACAAAAGAAATGAATAAACATGGTCATATAATTTCCTTTGTTTGTGTCCTCTAGGCCTCACTGCCAAGCTGAAAACAGTGTCTATTCAAACCATGTTTTGTTTTTCTTGGATTCAGATTACAAGCAAACACAACTGGCCAGAGACTGAAAGACCTACTTGTAAACCTCAAGTACACCAAACTAGTTTGCTCTACTCTAATAAGAGCCATTGAAACAGCAGATATCATTACATCATATCTTCCAGATGTACCGAGGGAGACATGTTGCATGTTAAGGGAAGGAGCACCTATCAAGCCTGATCCTTCTTCACCAAATTGGAAACCAGAGAAAAAGGTCAGTGTGTGTAACAGTGAGG